GTCTTTTGGTGTTGCTGAGCTCACCGATGCGTTCCTTCTTTTTAAGGATGTTCCAAACAGTTGTTTTGGCCATGCCTAATGTTTTTGCTATCTCTCTGCCGGGTTTGTTTTGTTTTTTTCAGCCTAATGATGGCTTGCTTCACTGATAGTGACAGCTCTTTGGATCTCATCTTGAGAGTTGACAGCAACAGATTCCAAATGCAAATAGCACACTTGAAATGAACTCTGGACCTTTTATCTGCTCATTGTAATTGGGATAATGAGGGAATAGCACACACCTGACCATGGAACAGCTGAGAAGCCAATTGTCCCATTACTTTTGGTCCCTTAACAAGTGGGAGGCACATATGCAAACTGTTGTAATTCCTACACCGTTCACCTGATTTGGATGTAAATACCCTCAAATTAAAGCTGACAGTCTGCAGTTAAAGCACATCTTGTTCGCTTCACTTCAAATCCAATGTGGTGGTGCATAGAGCCAAAAATGCTAGAATTGTGTTGATGTCCCAATATTTATGGACCTGACTGTAATAATATTACCATGCTAGTTAAAGCTTTGGAATCTTACCTGGCATAGGTGCCCGTTGTGCCATCTGATTGCCCCATTGTTGCGTTGGTGCTTGGTGCATAAGTGACTGTCCTGGCATCTGCAGCTGTGACTGTCCAGGAGCCTGGTGCTGCATCTGTTGTCCCAGTGCTTGGTGGGGGAGCATGCCCTGTGCTGCTTGCTGCATGTGGTGCAAAGGCTGCTGGGTCTGAGGAACGCTGGGCTGTGGCTGCAAGGCAGGGCATAAGCCATTAAATTCAAACAATTTAAAACTAAAGTGTGATTCTGACTCAATATTATTTTATATGCTTACAATGACACATTTTTAAACTTAAGTTTTATGTTTTAAGTAAGTTTTTTTCTCATTTTAAAATCTAAAAAGTCTTGTAGCACTATGAGTTAGCTAAAATGCAGTAAAATAGAAATAGTTATCTGCATTCAGGCCTGCCCTGGCTAAAGCCAGTCACCATACATGGATTGAAATTTGGTCAGTTCAGCAGGGTCTCCCAGCTGTCAGAATATAATAGCTCAGCGGGAATGATTCCTCCATCCACCTCAAATTTGTGGATGGGGGAATTGGTCAGTTTTTTTTCGTTCAACTCCTTGTAAAAATGAAAAAAGAAAAAAAAAAAAACATCCATCTATGGCCAAGCTTAAGGGAGTCCTGTGAGGACTCGCTCAATTCAGCTAACCATTAAAGCTGAACTTCAGCTACAGACAAAATATATCCTGAAATTTAGCGCTCATCTCATCTTGCTGAAATAATTCAGATTTTTCTAAGCAGCTTGCTTTATATGTAGCAAACTTCAGTACCATTCAGCCTTAAAGTGGTTGTAAAGGCAGGTTTTTTTTTTTACCTTAATGCATTCTCCGTATTAAAGGGAAAACAAAAAAAAAAAAACCTTTTGTGATCAGCATCCCCCAGCCCCCCTAAATTCCCCAAATCTTTGGGCGCCCTTTAGGCGGGGCCTTGGTAGTAACATCACAACACACGGGGGAGCGGTCTGAGTATGCGTGAGATGCTAGTGTCGGCTGTGACACTTATCAATGTGAGTGGTTTTATATGAATTTGGATTAATAAAGATTTTGTATGGTTTTACGCTATGTGGATTCCTTCTTCTTTCTCCACCATGTCCTACTCTGAATATATGATGAATGAATTGCCATTGGGAGGCTTTCCATCAGCTGAAGTCCATTGCCACAGAGTATTGCTCCCAGAGCACAAGCGATTATAGCTGGTGTATTTTTTGCCAGCATGGAGCTCTGGTGAGTGGATTCAATCTATTTGGTGGTGGATTTTCACTTGTTTTAACATCATACAAGATAAAGAATTTTGAAGATTGGAGCACCTCACCATTGTTTCACTGATTGCTTCACTTATTGTCTCACCAATTTATTGACTTTTTTCACAATATTTTTTCACAATATTTTTGTCACTTTCACTTATGGTTTGATGTTAATTATTTTAAGATATTAATATGTTATGTTTCTGAACAGTTTTCCCACACACTTCAGTTTTGAACACTTTCCCACACTTTATTACAAGTTTGATTACATTTGTTTTTTAGCACTTTTAGCATTAATAAAGATATTTTTTGGGTAGAGTGCTATAAATATCCTTGGTTGTTTGCCCTGGTTGGGTATAATACATTTCTTTCCATCAGTTCACCAAATGGTTCACGAATTGTTTGACATATTTATTGATTTTTTTTTTTACCTTTTTCTTTTGAATACTTTCCCACACTTTTGTAATTATTAATTTTAAATATTTGTTTTATATTTTTGTTGATGTTAATCAATTTAAGATATATTGATTATTAATATGCCATGTTTTTGAATAGTTTTCCACACATTGTAGTTTTGGACACTTTCCCACACTTTATTTCAAGTTTTTTTATAGTTGTTTTTCAGCACTTTTGTATTATAAGAGATAGTTTTTGGGAAGAGTGCTGTCTTGATATTTATTGCTTTGGTTGGTTGCCCTGCTTGGATTGATAGCGGCTCTCCTTAAACATATTCCTTATTTATATTTTTTCAAGTTCCAAAGGCTCCTGTGGCTAGAGGATTTATATCAGCCCTTGTGTTATAATCTAAGAAGATGAATTAGTCAGAACTGGGACATGGTAAATGAAAACATAAAATAGGGGGACACTATAGAGGGGGAGAGGGAGGGAGGTAGGTGCTGACCTGAGTTCAGCTTCAAACTTGGTGAAATGATCTCCATAAAATGGTTTTTCACATTACGTGATTATTAGAAACAACACATAATTAAATCTCTATGCAAATGTATTTCATAATCAGTTTATTGGGAACACAACAGACCACTGAGTTTAAGCCCTGCCTCTCAAAGGAAGAAGATCAAGTTAAAGGGTATGAATCTTACACTGTGACCTATAACCCAACTGCCCAAGAAGTAAAGGACCAGGAGCCCCTAGCAGTGAAAAGCCCTGAAAGCCTTGAAGAGGCAGATGAAAAGTGGAAATCTAAATTTCTAACAACCCACATCCAAAGGTAACGGTAAAGGCAACAAAGTCAGAATCTGTGTCCCCCCCTACTGAACTAATCTTCACAAAAAGATTTAAAAAGGACAACCCCCCGCCCCCCACCCCCAACTATAAAACTGGCAATAATGTATGGGGAAACTAAACAATCCTAACTTTGTCCTTGTGACTTTTTCTTTATATTTACCATATTTGCCTTTTTTTGTGTATGCGCTGTACGTGCATCTGTTGCAAAAACCCTTTCCTCTGGATCTTGCAAAATTACGGTTGCATGTAAATTTGTATGGCACATTTGCTTTTTTCTACAAAGAATTTTAGCCCTGTGAGCTTCCACTCACAGGAGTATCTTGATGACCCAGTGTTTAAAATGCAAGAAGGATGGCCCTGCCAAGTTCCAGCAGGAAAAATGTAAATGTGAAAAAACAAACATCTGGATCAACAGGCATGGGCAGAACATTTTCAACCCACCTGCTGGGTCAGTCTGCTGAGCGCTGGGAAGGGTGAAGTGAGGGGTGTTTCAGTGGAGCTTGGGGTACTGCTCCTGAGGGCATCCCAGGTATAGCTGCCACCTCCACTATTGCCTCTACCATAGGTCAAAATGCTGCTGTTCAGCAAGCATCCCCATGACTAGGCAGTATTGCAGCAGACACTGTCAGGTTGGGATTCTCAAGCCTCAGGAACAAAGATGGGTAACTTTAGGCACGTAGTGTGGTATGCGACAATGGCATCAACCTCCTTGGCTGACTTTAAAGGATACGTTCACCTTTTGATAAAAAAAAAGAATAAATGCACATTTTTTTGCAGGTAAAAAAATGTGCATTTATTATTTTTTGGTGCAGGAGCCTGCAAAGCATAGCATCAGTGGTCAGCAGATTGATGGTGCCATGCAGGTCTCCTGCGGATCTGTCAGTATATCTTCTTGCCCATATAGGATATCCGAGCAAGCAGATATACTGACAGGAAGATTCAATGAACTACAAGCCGACTGCCACTAAGGCTAATGGGGACTTGTAGTTTCTCATTCACAAAGGAGTGACGTGGCTAGGTGGGTGGAGCCGCACATGGCCACTTTTTTTTTTTTTTTTTTATTTGACAGCTCCCCCCAGCAGGGAGCGGGAGCTTGTACTTTCATAACATGTAACAACCTGACTATTAAAGGTGAACTTATCCTTTAAGGATGTCTAACCCATATGGCTGGTTTTGCTCAATGTGGTGGTACAAGTACAAGGGAAAGATGGGTAGTTTTGGAGTCCAGTAAAGAAAGAAACAAGAATGCAGTATTTCACCACAGCCCTCAAACCCCGGTTGCAAAAGGCCTATCCAAAGACTGGCCACCTAGTGGCATCATGTTGCCCACAGGGGATAGGGTAGTGGTGACTTGATGGATGTGCACTGAAAAATTCTAAAACCTCAGCAACCCTTTGGGGCACAGAACTACCAGTGTACTTTCTCAGTGGGTTTTTAGTGTATTGAGAAGCAGACCATGCTGTCCAAAAGACAGTGTGGTTTGTTTGAAAGTATACTTATCCTTTAAATACTAAGTGCATTTAATTATCCTGGAATACATACATGAAAAAAATCTGTGCAGCCACACTCTATACACAGTGACCAAAAAATAAAAAAATTTATGTTGCAAGCTGTAACACCTATAGTGATTTCACCTCACATGCAAAGCAAAACAAAATTGTGCAGTGCAGCAAATAATAAATAAAAAAATGTCCATCAATGTGTCCATTAAGCAGTGCTTTAACCGCCTCCCGCCCGCCATATAGTAAAATGATGGACGCAAGGCGGTTCTCTCTTTCTGGGAGGACGTCATATGACGTCCCCCCATTCTAACTGCGCATGCGCGACTCCAGGAGCATGCAGCGTGGCGATGCGCTGTCTCCCTCAGACACAGAGGATCACCGATCAACGGAAAGAGCTGAAGATGTTGGCTTGGTCATGTGATCATCTGTGTCCAATCACACCTGATCACGTGTAAACAGGGAGATGCAGGTTATGGGCATTTTTCTCCTCACGAGCTGTCACGCTGACAGCTCGTGAGGAGAAGAGAGATGGTAATCGGCATTCCTCGGAGGGGACATGTACACAGATCATCAGGGCACTGATGATCAGTGTAGCCCCAGCTGTGCCACCTGTCAGTGCCCAGTCAGCTGTCAGTGCTCATCCCACATCAATGTGCCACATCAATGCCATCAGTGCCCATCTGAGCTGCCTTTCAGTGTCACCCATCAGTGCCAGTCAGTGCCACCTATCAGTGCTGCCAGTCAGTGCCGCCTAACAGTGCCATATATGAGTGCTGCCTTTCAGTGCCACCTACCAGTGCCTCCTCATTAGTGCTACCTATCAGTGTACATCAGTGCAGCCTCATTAGCCACATCAGTGAAGGAGAAAAATCACTTATTTTACAAAATTTTATAACAAAAACGAAGAAAAAAATTTTTTTATTTCAAAAATTTTCAGTGGTTTTTGGTTTAAGAAAAAATAAAAAACCCCAGAGGTGATTAAATACCACCAAAATAAAGCTCTATCACAAAAAAACATATAAAAATTTCATATGGGTACAGTGTTGCATGACCGCGCAATTGTCAAAGTGCAACAGCGCTGAAAGCTGGAAATTGGCCTGGGCAGGAAGGGGGTATAAGTGCCCTGTAGGCTAGTGGTTAAATTAACATGTTGATAAGAATCAAATCTTCTTCCTGAATATCACACTGCATTCATACAGCCAATGTGCAAATGGACGCTCACCTCCTTAATCACTTCAAGTCCGAACACTTTTACCTCCTTCCTGTCCAGGCCAATTTTCAGCACTATCACACGTTGAATAACAATTGCGCGTTCATGCAACACTGTACCCCTATGAAATTTTTTAGCATTTTTTTGAGACAGATAAAACGTTATTTTGGTGGTATTTATTTACCACTGGGATTATTTTTTTGCTACATAAATGAAAAAGTCCAAACATTTTGAGGAAAAAAAAAAAAAAGTGTATTTTTCTTATAAAATTAATAAATAAATCTGATAAAATTTTACAAATAATCTTTCGTCATAAATCTTGGCCAAAATGTATTCAACTATCTTTTTAGTGAAAAAAAAAAAAAAACACAACCCAAATTAGTTTAACCAAAAATGATAATTTTTCAAAAATGTTTTTTACATTTTTATATTAATATTTATGTCTTTTTTTTTTTTAACATACCATCACCCTAGCAGTATTACTACTTGTGGGGGGTGATGAAGATTTTTTTTTTTTTTTCGTTTTTTAAACTGATTGCTTTTACACCCCTAAAGGCTGTAAAAGCAGTCATTTCTATTTCTCTCTGGCTGCATTCTTGCAGCCATTGAGAAATACTGTGAGAGCTGTGATTGGTCACAGCTTGTCACATGGTACAAGGCTGTTGTGAATAGCCTTGTACCATGTGACCTCTGTGATCATTCACAGATTTCACAAGTAGTAAGCAATGATGTCAGGAAGTGACATCTTGTTTACTACTGTTCATTTGATCACTGATTGGCCAATCAGTGATCACATGATCGGGACCTCACACAGAGATCCCGTACAGCGATCGGTGTTCCTCCGGACACAGCAGGCACCGGATCGTGGTGCTGCACGCTCCCAGGGAGTGCGTACAGGCATTGAATGTGGTGGCCGTTTATAAACGGCCACCCGCTGCGGCACTGCTCCCGACTGGCCGTTTATATACATGAGCCGGACAGGAAGTGGTTAAATGACCTCTCTGTACAAATGAGGTCAAACAAGCGCTCCCAGCAGGAGACATCTTTGAGCACTTGTTTGACCCCATTAGTACAGGAAGGTCATTTAAGGAGGTGAGCGACCATTTGCATATTTATCTGCCTTGTGACAGTCTGACTGACAATTACTCAGTCAAGCAATAATGTACACAAATGAATTTTATAATTTTTTTTTCTGACAGATCATTCATGTTATTTAATAGTCACTGCTTTTTTTCTTTTATGTAAACGATAAAAAGACCCATAATTCGGGAAAAACATTTTCTTCTTACTTTCGGTTATAAAATAAAGCAAAATAAAAATCCAGGACAGTACAAACACACACAAAATTACCTTTTTTTGTAAAGTAGAGACCCTAGGGTGACCTAATATTTGGCCACAATTTTATGGAAATTAAGGTGTGCTTAAAACATGGAGCTTGGTAATGGTGCACTACATACAGCAGCATTTATAGGTCATACCAAGAGGGAGGAGCAGGTAAAAAAGTTAAAGTACAGATCACAAACAGTATAGGATAGAGAGGATAGAGAGGTCATTTTCAGATGTGCAGGATAACAGAGGTGAGGGGTTATGATAATGGTCACTAGAAAAAGAATGGAGATCAGATGTGCAGGGGAGGAGGGGGAGATGAAAGGGTTAAAAAACGATTCAACAATCAAACCCTTCCTACCTGAATTTTCCTGCTTTTGTTCTGGTATGGATGAAAGTTCGTTCATCCATTAGTTCCTCCTCCTTCTTTCATTGTAAGAGTAAGCGGCAGTCTTTCAAAAGTAAATAGTAGTACTACTTACACTTAATGATCGCAGTGATTGGATATCACAACGATTACATGGTACAGAGCCACCCGGATTGGCTCCGTACACGTTGTCTGTGAAATGTTTATGGCCATTAACAGGCATACTGGCCACCCAGGGCTATTTCTGAAGTGCTGTTTTTCTACAATTCTGGGATAGAGAGGTGGTTAAAATAGAAGTATGGCCAAAGAGCTTTTGGACCTACATCCCTTGTGCAGTGTCACAGGAGTGCACTTAGTTCTTCACTCCTGTGACTCAGATTCAGCCAACAGCAGGCTAAAGTCTTTTGACATCACTGGGCCAGTCCAGAATCTGGAGGGATTCTGACTTTAATGTCGGGATCCACCCAGATGCCTTATCAACAGCTAGCTCAGCCTGAGAACCTGAGCCTACCACTCACTGCCCCTTCCACAGTCCAGTTCTCAGCCTTAGACCTTGGCATTGGACAGATGCTGCAAGCACTTAGGTAAATATAAATGTTTATTTATTAAATTCCCATACTTCTCTTTTAAAGAGCACCTGCCATTTCATAGTAAACAACACAGGTAGCGTATAAACTATATCTGCGCCCTTTGCACACCAGAGTCATAGTTTACTGATGATCACTCAGGAACTTGTGACACCCGTGTGCAAGGAGACAAACGCTGTTTGTAAAGACCCAAGTAATGTTGAGTATAGGCAAGTAAAGGTGTGTAAGCATATAGACGAGTATAGCCGAGTACAAATCGTCTTCGTTGCCAGTAGAGTAAATAACTGCACACAAATTGAACATTTCTAATTTTCGTTTTACTGCACTGTACTCAACCCTGCATTACTGATCTTTTCTTCCCTGTGTGCAACGTCCCATAGACAACAATGCATCTCATTTCAGATCAGTGAAAAACTCAGCATTTTTTTACTCCTGCGTGCAACAGGCCTAAGAATAAAAGTCAGCTTTACTCTCGTATTTATACAGGCCAGCAGCAGCCAAAATTGCTTATTTTTTATATCAACATTTTATAAGGAGAGTTCTGTGATCCTAATAGAAAACAGAGAGAAGTAGAGTTGTGAGTAGGTGTTCATTCTATGTCCATAGCCTCTAGTTCATTATGCCAACACCAAAATGGGACATGACTTTTGCATTACAGGAGAAGTTAAGTTTGGTTGTGAGTGACTCACAACCATGGTTACAAGCAGAAATTTCTAAATCCTGTTCTATAGAATACATTTTTTTTTCCTCAACAGAAATTATTACTTTACTAAAAGCTGCATTAGGGTTATGTTACATGCTCAGTCTAGCATGAAACAGAAGTGAAAAGTATTCCACTTTAGGTAAATTCCTTAGGCAACAAGACCAATCATACTCACTGGCTGCTGGCTGAGCAGGAGGTTGCGAAGCTGAGGGTTGGCACCAGGATTCTGAGGTCGTAACATGGCTCCTGCCTGAGGATTCTGAGACTGACCTGGAGTTTGGACTGTAGCTTGGGAGGCCTGTTGAGGCTGCTGGGTGGTGCCCTGAGGGGGCTGTTGCTGTGGCAGCCGAATATGTAACTGAAATGACAAACCATTATATTATTGTCAATGCTGAAAAAAACACTTGTGCAAAGTTTGATATTAGCGTTGATGTAGGGGATAGGCTGAGGGAGAGCTGGCAAAAAAGGAGAATTTACAACATAGGAACTTTCAGGTACCTTATTAGAACACTTGAGACTGACACACACACACACACACACACACACACACACACACACACACACACACACACACACACACACACACACACACCTCTTTGTCATCTACACCAAAAAGGATTACTTGCCTACAGGGCACTTTTACCCCCTTCATGCCCAGGCCAATTTTCAGCTTTCAGTGCTGTCGCACTTTGAATGACAATTGTGTAGTCATGCAACACTGTACCCATATGAAATTTTAATTTTTTTTCACACACATAGAGCTTTCTTTTTGGTGGTATTTAATTGCCACTGGGTGTTTTATTTTTTGCACTATAAACCATAAAAAAAAATTTTTTTCTTTGTTTCTAATATACAATTTTGTAGACAGGTAATTTTTCTCCTTCACTGATGTGCGTTGATGAGGCTGCACTGATAGGCAGCCTTGATGGGCACTGATGAGGTGGCACGGATAGGCAACACTGATAGGCTGCATTGATGAGGTGGCACTGGTGGGTATTGATGAGGAGGCACTGATGATGCTGCACTGATATGCAGTAATGATGGGCACTGGTTGGCGGCACAGACTGGTGGCATTGCTGGACACTGATCATCAATGCAGATGTGCTCTGTGTCATTTGACGGTTATCGCCAGTACTTTCCTCACGCAATGACAGTGTGAGGAAAATGCAGCCGATGACCAGCAAATGTATTTACTCGTGATCTGCTGTGTCATTGGAGACAGCTGATCACGTGGTAAAAGGACGCTGTGATTGGCCTTTTACCTCATGTGATCAGCTGTGTCCGTAGGACACAGCAATCATGGAGAACGCTGGGGGCACGTGGGAGGGCATGTTCTGGGAGGACATCATATGACGCCCTTCCAGAACTGGACAACCGTGCTGTAGCAGTCATTCGGCTATAGCACGGATGGCAAGTGGTTAAACAAGAAAAGCCAAAAAAGACACAGTCATTGTAGATTCAGCTCAGCACTTTATTGTACCATTTATTGACAAGTGGTTAGACAAGCAATAAAATCAAGCTCAAAGCTGCAGCAGGTAATAGTACTTGCAGTGTCGGTGATGAGCTTTCTGCTCAAAATGATCCCCCTTTCACTCTTACAGGGCTCTCAAAGTGCACC